TCTCTAATGGCATTTTTGTCTTGAATCTCTCTCATGGCAAGTCTCTCGCTCTATCTAGTACGAAGTCCATCTCGACTGACAAAGCAACACTTTTGCACAGGCGTCTAGGTCATCTAAATCATAGATACATGAAGATGCTGTTTAATTCCTCTGTATCCTCTCTTTCTCCATGCTCCACTTGTACTCTTAGCAAGCATCATCGTCTGCCTTTTTCGGGTAAACTTCCTCGCCCAACTGCTCTTCTAGAAGTTATCCATAGTGACTTGAGCGGTCGAATCTCTCCTGAATCCATTGGAGGTGGACGTTATTACTTTAAACTTACAGATGGTTTTCCTAAATACAAACATGTATATATTCTCAAACATAAATCAGAAACTTTTTCAATCTTTGTGCAATTTAAGAAGCTTGTCGAAAAACAGCTAGGAGTACCTATCAAGAGATTAGTGAATGATAACGGTGGGGAATATATTTCAGAGGAATTCCTAACTTACTTGAAAAACGAGGGTATCACTTCGGACTTCTCCGTTCCATACACCCCCCAACAAAACCCCATCTCTGAACGAGGCAATCGCACTACCACCGAAAGGGCTCGGTGCATGCTCATCGACGCGAATCTACCCAAGAAATTTTGGGGTGAAGCCGTATCTACCGCGGTCTACCTTGAAAATCGATGTCCTGAAGCTAGCATTGGATATAAGACCCCACATGAGCTTTGGACTGGAAAGATTCCATCTGTTGATCACCTATGTATCTTCAGTTGTGCAGCGTATCCTTTGATCCCCAAGCAGTTTCGTCCTTCTAAGTTCAGCCCTGTTTCCAAGAAGTGTATCCTTTTGGGATATCAAGAACGATTACACAACTATCGTCTCTGGGATTACGGACCCAGGAAAATAATTTATTCCCATGATGTCATCTTCAACGAATCGGACTTTACTCATTCATCACTCTCCAGTATAAATACCGACCACGATGTCCTAACTGAGGACATTCCTACTCTCGAGTTATCTACTTCTGATCCAGTCATGTCTGATCAAGAACCTCCTGCTCCGATCATGAATAATCTATCATCGCCTGTACAAGTTTCTTCCTTGCTTGATTCCATACCATCGCATGGTCTTACTCCCGCCGGCAGTCCTCCGATTGAATACACCCATATCGAGGACGGTGATCCAATGACTACTAGTTCTAGTAGTGATTCTACAAATGTGTCTTCAGAGTCTGAAAACGTCGACGTCGTAAGAAATGACTCCTCTTTAATCCCACCAATCCCTGAAAGCGCTCGTTGGTCCTATCAGCCAATCTCGCAGCCTGCCCCTCGTGACATCTCCTCTTCTATAAATCCCAACAACATCCTCAGCACTCGTCGTCGACAAGCTCATTTAACCAGAGCTAACCCATCAACCACTCCTAAAACTTACAAACAGGCTATGCGTGGTGCTCTTGCGAACGAATGGGTCGAAGCCATGAAAGTCGAGCTTGACAACATGGAGCGACGTGGTGTTTGGAGCGTGTGCGAGCTGCCTGAAGGTTGCACTGCTGTCGGAACTGTTTGGGTTTACAAGACAAAGACAGACGTAGATGGAGCCTTTGTTAAATTCAAAGCGCGACTTTGTGCACAAGGATTCTCTCAAGTTGCGAATGTCGACTATCACAAAACATTTGCTCCCACCGGTTGTAAGACTGCTTTTCGTGTATTACTTGCTGTAGCTGGGGTTAACAACTTTGATGTTCATGGCATGGACGCCATCGCAGCCTTTCTCAACGGCATTCCTGGTGAAACTATATACTTACGAATTCCTGAAGGTCTGCATATTGATGGAGCGACAGACAAAACGGTTCTTAAACTGAATCGGGGACTCTACGGTCTTAAGCAATCGCCAAGGTGCTGGTATAAACAATTGACAGAATTTTTCATCTCCATTGGTTTTCGATCATCTAAAGCCGACTCCTGTCTTTTTATCAGCTCCGATGATTCTGAACCTTGTTACGTTGCGGTACATGTCGATGATATGTTAATTAACGGTAGCAAGAAAGGTATCGCCTCCTTCAAATCGGCTATCTCTAAGAAGTTTGAGATGGAGGATCTTGGTGAGGCCACTTCTATCTTAGGGATGAAAATCTCAAGAGATCGACACCTAAAAACCATTTCTCTTTCTCAAGAACATTACGTTGAGACTCTTCTGGACTACTACGGAATGTCTCAATGCTCCCCTGTTTCTACTCCTATGATTCTGAACACTTGTCTTTCTCCGGCAAGCGCGGAATCCATCGCTGCCTTTAAGGCATCCGGCCTCAATTATCGTCAGGCTGTTGGTTCGGTGAACTACCTTGCTCAATGCTGCAGACCCGATCTAGCGTTTACTTGTTCTCAACTGGCTCAACACCTGGAGAATCCTGGTAATGAACATTGGGCTGCTTTTCATCGACTTCTCCGTTATCTTAGAGGTACCTCAAAGTATAACTTGACGTACGGCTCTAGTTCTCCAGCAGAAGGTTCCTATGCTCATGCCAAGCCTGAAAACTTTGCTGACGCTGATTGGGCCGGCTGCATCAACACACGTCGATCCACTACCGGGTACTTATTTCTAATCTTTGGAGGTCCAATTAGCTGGAAATCTAAAAAACAACCGGTTGTTTCTCTTTCTACTACAGAAGCGGAATACAAGGCAGTCGTGGAGGCGGGTCAGGAGCTCATGTGGTTACAGACTCTGTTCACAGATCTGAAAGTCGTCACCAATCCAATGATTCCTTTATTCAATGACAATCAAGGTTGCATTTCATTAGCTTCTAATCCGATTTTTCGTGCTCGAACGAAACACATCGAAATTCAGTATCATTGGATTCGAGAGAAGATAGAAGATAAAACGTTTTTACTTTCATATAAACCTACAGCAGAAATGACTGCTGATATTTTTACTAAGTCTTTACCCAGAGTTTTGCACAATAGGTGCTGCGTTAGTATGGGTTTAACTTCTGCATGTTTACAAATCTCATAGATATCGAAGTAGGGGGGGTATTGAGATAATTAACAAGTCTAGAACTTCATTTCTATTTTGTCATAGTTAATATCTATATGATGTCAACTTCATCTATTTCATTTCTTCTCTGACATCATTATGTCTTCTCCTTCTCTATCTATTCATGTACCTTGGTTCTACGAGATCACTTTTACATATAAGACTGAATGTTTCCTCAACTATTGTTTCCTTTTTCTCGTTCATTCTTATCTGTGTTTCTCGTACCACTAGGTACTTTGCTTTTCCACATCACTCGTGTTCTTTTAGCACTTACTAAAGAACTTTTGTGTTCTTCCAAAGGTTTGTTCTTTTATGTAGTGTTGTGTAGTAAAAGCAATTAATTCTTATCTGTGTTTCTCGTACCACTAGGTACTTTGCTTTTCCACATCACTCGTGTTCTTTTAGCACTTACTAAAGAACTTTTGTGTTCTTCCAAAGGTACTTTGCTTTTCCACATCACTCGTGTTCTTTTAGCACTTACTAAAGAACTCTCGTGTTCTTCCAAAGCTCGTACTCTTATAATTTGATGGTGGCCTTTTTTCAAAAAGCAACATTGAGGAATTGCAAAAGCTTATGAAAGACATGACATTACCTACTGGAATTCAAAAGCTGCCACCCAATCTGGGAGAAGCTAAACAAGGGACTTTGAAAGTGGCTTAGTGGCATAGCTTCCTTGCCTATGTCATTCCACTCATTGTAGTGGATCTTTATGTTGGCAATGTCAATCAATTTGAAAAGAGTTCTAACAGAGGTCAGGTTTTATTCAACATCGGATGTCTATCTCAATGTACAAATATTGTATGTGAAAAGAAAGTATTGAAATACAAAGCATCAATGTTTGAAAAGTTTTATCGACAATATAAGAAGAGCTCAAAAAATATTCAAAAATGTCATCAACCATCCAAATCATCATTATGCTCTTCATATACCGGATTAAATCAGGCGCTGGGGCCCCCTCATATTGGTGGCTGAATTTTCTGGAGAATGGTTGATAGGTATATTACAAAATATTCCTACAACCAAACGACTATGTAAGTATGTTATATATCTACATATTGTTCAGTGATACTGATTGTACCTTTCAAAATCAGCTCGAATGGATGGTACCATGATGCCTTGTTTTAGGCAGTGGCAAAGGCTGTTGGGCAACCATTCAGTTGTTGAAAACATCATGCATCCGTCTAAAATTCAACCAAAAGACCCAAGCAAAAGGCACTATCGGATCTGCCTGAAGGATGATGATTATACACTCCTACTTAAGCATTTGCAAGTTCAAGATCAGCAACTGCAATACTATTACAAAATTCCACATGCACCAGACTCCCAACTCACACGGCATGCAATGTCATGTCGCTTTCCGCCCTGCAACGGTACATCGCTGGCAAAGGGGTGTTGCAGCCAAATTTGGCCCTGTTGCTGGTCCCGCCTGTGAAGTATCCGTGCCAGCAACATACGGTCACAGAGAGAAAGCAACACAACATTGCATGCAGTGTGAGTTAATCAAGCGGTACCAGGTTGGGTAATTTCAGGATTCTAAGCAGTGTAACATTCAAGCTCTGCCTTACAAAGCAATGAAAGTATACTTCTTCTGAGTTAAGTTGAGATTGCCCGCTCACCTCATACTAGCGGGTTCAAGTTGGCCAAAGGGTAATTTCCAAAGTAATGGTAAATAAGTTAACAAGACTTCTTTTTTATTGGCTGAAATCTTCATTCTCATTTGGATTTGAATCTCTCCTAACAATCTATTGAGTTTAGATTGGGTTGAGTTTCTTCCAAATCAGGCTGGAAACCCAAACCCTCCTCCTCCTTGAAATCCTGATGATGTTGATGGTCCATGACAAAAGTAGGCTGCTCTGATACATGAAAAAATTCCATGAATCAGCATCAATGACCAATGTTGTTGTGGTCTATTAAGAAAGAAACAGATCATCAGAATCAATTCTTTATAGTTTGGATTCATAATAGAACTGACCCATGAATCATTCAATCTACTAAATCACTATCCAAAATCAAATCAGCAGCTTGTGATAACAACTCCATTTTCTTAGCAGCTTTTGCCAGTCCAGCGCAATTCCTAGTCAAACTACATTCATGTTTGGTATACCCATCCTACAAAAAAAACAATTTTTTGCAATCAAAAGAATTCTTTTTGAATGAAGAAAGGAACACCTACCTGTATCAGTGGTAACATATCATGATCTTGAAAATATAAATCACACTTATCCATAAATTAAGTCATTGAACAAGCTTGACTTCAAGTTTGAGGAGCAAACAATTTATAAACTAAAGACCAAGGTGAAACAATCATATTCTGTTCATTCATCAATGCCCTACAAGACCAAAAACAAGAAACATCCAGTCAAAAATTCCAAACTTTATTAAGCATTTTTGTGTGAAAGAGAGTTTTAAGAAACACTTACATTTTTCTAGCATCATCAAATTCCATTGGTTTAGAAGGACCTTCACCACTCTGTAATTTCCAAACCAACAACATATTGATAATTTGTCTACTATCAGACTGACTACCAGCCACCAGTTGATCAATAGCAATTGCTGGACCTTTCAATTTTTCTCTAAATGCAATACACATAATCCTACTTCTAATCGCATTCGCATCAGGTCTTCTAAACACAAGTGAATGAGTGGTGATATCAATGGTTTCATCTTGGGTGATGACATATCATTTGCACTAGCTATGATAGGTATTTGCGTTTTTTGGATTAAACTGTTTAAGGCTCCTACTCCTCCTCTATCTCCTGCTGATATTCCATTGACTCCATCCATGATTGAAACTAATTGTTTGTTTTTAGGTTCTGATGTCTATTTTTGAAAACAAAAAAATATCAATCCAAAGAATTAATCAGGAATCATCAATGAACTGATCTTCAAGTTTTTCAAAGGATTTTCTTCTTTACCTCTAAATATCCACTGATCCCTGTGTTTCCTGTGATATCCTAATAACCAGCTTCTAAAAGTTTTTTACTCCTTGTATTACTTGCATTCATTTCAATAATATCATACCCTTCAACTTTCGAAACCAAATGAGAAGTAGTAGTTTAACCTACACCAGGCGGACCTGATAAGACAATACATCTATAAAGACCTAATCCATCTTTACCAGGTTTAGTAAACTTTGCTTTTCAATTTTTTGGCCTTGAAAAGGAAGAAATTGTTAAAGGTTCAATGACTTTGAAGAGACAGAATGTGTAATTCAAGAGCTAGAAAGGCAATTTACCAATCTCTAAGCCATGTTTGAAGTCGGTCCACTTGTGGCTTATTACCACACAATTCATTCAATGCTTTAGGAGCGTATTTCATGGTCCATAATTGTCTGGCTAAATCTTGCTTAGCTTGGACTTTTCACTGATCAAAAAGAAACTGAGTTAATGGAAAGATCATCGTCTATTGGTACAGCAAAACTGGACCTTACGCTGTGCTTCCCTTAGTAGGTTCCATAGCCTTGGCAGCTTGCTTGATCTTCTTAATCTCATCTTGTTGCTTCTTGAGTACTTTCGGATCAACCTCACTTGCTCTATATATTCGAAATGTAGGTCCTAGAGTCAGCTTTACCTCGACACGAAATTTGCAAAACCTCAACGTACGAGTGTGTCCCGATCAATTCCAAAATCTTATCTTCTGTCAGGGTGGTTATCTTATGCTTAGCAATGACTTCTAACTTCTTTGCGCTGCATCTGAACCAAGAACTACATAGCTAGTTTTAGACGATGGACTTGTGGTGACACGACTGAAGATGATCAAGATCAGTCTCGATTTGGTGAACATGAGCAAGTGTCTAGTAGAATGTAAAGTCGTACCCTCCATAAAGTTTACACAGGGTTTGAGCTTCTTCACGACTCAGTGACTCCAATTCTCCAGTGAATAAAAATGTAAGACCAGCAAGACAATTAGGCTGTCCTTCTGGAATTTCTTTTGAGCCTGTAAAGATGAAAGCGGATTTGATGTTAGGGGATCTCACAAACTTTGAAGATAATGAAAAGTTTGATTTTCGTACCTGGAGCAGAGGGACCAGCGCGTTGTTGCCCAGGAATCCATTTTGACTTGGGTTTTGCAGGTTGGAGTTCTATCTTTATCTGGTTTCAGTTTTTTCGAAGATGGTGGTTTGGTAGCTTTAATGATTTTGAAAGGTTTGTTGGTTTAAGCCGTCAGAAAGATAAAGTATGAAGTGACATCACAAAGGAAAAGGAACGTGATTTACTTTTGCTCTTCACTGGTACATCATCATCAATAAAATCATCCAGTTTCGCCTTCCGTTTACGTTTGGTGGACTTTGTCTCTTTAGGTATGAGTTTTTATTTTCCTTTTGAAGTTGATACAGCTTTAGATTTCACAGGCTTATCATCATCAGAATCACTAAGTTCAACACATATTTTCCTTTTGTTGGTAGTAGTATTTGTACGTGAAGTAGAAGATTCTTTAGGAATTGATTTAGATTCAGTTGCTTCTGTTTTTCGAGTGGATGAGCTTGCTGGTTTTGTTGTTGGTTTCATCGTTTTAGCTGGTGATTTTTTATTTGGTGTGGTTGATTTGTTTGTGGTGACTTTAGAAGTAGAAGCACTGGTGCTTCCTTTTGGTTTAGGATTTGCACTAGGTGACTGGAAAATGAAATCATCAGTTCATCTGTTAAGTGTAAGGGAGGGAACGCGTGGATACTAACTTTTGGATCGGTTGTAGATTTTGAGGGATCGTTGGACTTGATGCCAAAGAAAGACCTGTGGAACAGGTATAAGTTAATTCTTTGATACGCTGACCTTTAATCTGAAAAAGTAAGTTAATGAACCTGATGTCACTCATTTTGGTTGATTGGTGAAAAGTCCAGTTTTCTGATTGAATAATCGCGTTGGTTCATTCCTTTTCACGGTTTCGCGACCTCACAGAGTCTAAATCTCGTTGACATGTCACACCGCATGTCACTTCCCATATTCCACATTGAAACTTGAAACAAAGCAATCTCGAGTCCTCGACCCTTGGAGGTTGGAAATAATGAAGCGAAGGGTCAAAGCCCCAGATAAAGCCAAGCGTGACCAAGTAGCTTTATGACATAGCCACACTCTCTGCAGTAGATAAATTCTCTTGCCACGCGCTTTGCTCATCTTGCTTGGACATATGAACAATTTCAGCTCATTAAGTTTTTTTGTGTTTGGTCGCATTGTGGTCCAACGGTCAAACAGATGAATGGCTCTTCCACCTACTTCTACATCGACATCATGGTCAACTGATGACCCTTCAGCATGTGACAGAAGTATCTCGGTTTCTATTTTTGATGGGATCTTGGTGATCAATCCCTCAAAAGATTAAAAAGATCACAATCATGACTGTGTGGGTGCTGAGATCCATGACAGATTGCGTACAAATCTTGATAGGGATGAACTCATTGAATCTATTGCAACTCATCAGAAAGATGAATCAATGGCATTTGTAGGATTACGTGCATGTTGCGGTGTGATAAAGCTTCAGTTTTTGTTCTCATCCGCATCAAAACTAAAAGCGAGATCAAGACAAGCAATCAAACACGAATCTCTTGTTTTGTGTTTCCTCAACAGTTCAAGGATATGGACATGGTAAAATCATCTATTGGGTGCTGACAGGGAAGTCCAATATGTGAATTTGCGCGAATCTGTTATATATAGCTTTGGGAAAGGATATGTGGTAAATTGTCCCTACAACACAGTATAACAGACACTCTAGCTCCTGCCTTCTGATTACTGGACAGAAAAATGATTGCTTTTAACAGATGCTTGATCACTGATGTCACCGAAAGCATCAAGTTGATTTGGGTGGCTTCAGGGGGGGTCCGCACCAGCATACGCCCTTTGTATCCTGACACCAGACACACGTGACCTCTGGACCCTCGTCTATGGTGCCATCAATGTGTTTGGTCACCGCTTGTTGAGCCGACACGATTTCCTTTTCGTCCTTGAGATTGATTATGGCACCAGAAGCTTGATTGATTGAGACCGAGATCATGAGCATGGCTGCGACGATGCTGAAATTCATGTTCATGATGATATATCTAATTGGTTGACCAAGTTTCGGTTTTAGCAGATTGTGATCAAGATTTGGTTGAATATCTCATGACTCACTAGGATGCTAGAGCAGCGGAATTTAAAAGATTGTGTGGGTCCAGGTGAAAACCGATAGTATCTAAACCCATCGAAAGGGTGAAGAAAGCGATCACATAATCAGCTCAGTCTGTTGGGAAAAAATATCTCTACAATTGGCTGATGAAAACTCTAGGTTGACATACCAAAGGAGTGTGCAGGTTGGAGCAATAACTTGATAAGATGATTGGATGGCGAACAAATCATCAGCAAATTCATCGACCTTTTATATTTGTTGGAGACCGCCGGAGTCGTTGTCTCTCCGGCTCCCCGCGGTCGTCGAGACATGGAACATCTTGCTGTGTTTCCTATCATAGCGTCCTAAAGAGTCAAATATAAGACCTCTAGCTCCTCTAGTTCACGAAGACTGCTTAGTTTCGTATCATGCGAGTTGCGACCTCGTATGACAAATTTCTTTCAATATTGAGGTTGTTGTGAACCAAGTTTATCCAAGAAAAAAGTATATGGCGGCGTATGAAACGATATTCAGCTTTCCCCTCAGACTGAGTGCTTATTTTAGGCAGAAGCTTTGGTTTGAATATACCCTCAAGTTTTGATCGATGGTACACTGAGATAGCGTTTCAGGAGGTCCCTGAGTCTCGGCCCCGGTAGCTTGGACTGAGAGTGGGATCCATTTCATCGCTGAGCCTACTAACTTGAGGAGCGCCGAACCGACGGAGAAGGCCCTGGGGAAGCCTGAGTTCGGTGGGGCTGACTAAACTTCTCTATCACATGCCGCTGTGTTGAACTGATGAAACAACGGGACAAGACCGTCTTGCCCTTTGCCATACGCACCATTTCACCTACATTGGCCAAACCGCGCCCGGATGGCCTTCGTAAGACTTCATCTCGAACTACGCATTGCACACCACATGCTGGACTAAAGTACATAAGCATGACTTGCTCCAACCAAATTTCCCTTTTCAAGGTGACATAGTCTGCATTCTTTTGACTTGTTTGTAGTATTGTATACAATAAAGCAAATACACACTTGAGAAAGTCATTGCTACCCCGCACCGTTCCCTATGCCATCTTGGAGTTATGTGACCTTACACACTTTGTCTCACTAGCCGTGCAGGTATCTCTTGGCCCAATGGAGCGTGGAACTTATCACCCGACAGCAAGGAGTCGGACATTGTAAACTTTCTACAAACCACATTGGACATCTCATTTCCACCCAAACTCTGCCGCCGCCTCTGGGGCACAATCTCCCTGTTGAGAAAGATTAGACTATCTTAAAAAATTAGATCAATCTTCAATTTCTCATCAGTTTTCTCATATGATCCAAACTCAATGTTTTTTTGTATCTTGATTGCTACCAATTTCTTTTCTTTTGATCTAATTGAACTCGATGCTTCAAGTTCTGCTTTGATCTTACAGGATTTGAGTTATGATCATGAGACTTTAGCTCTAACTATTGTTGGTGCAGTAGCGAATAGAGTTATAAAGTTTCTGCTTTATTTGATGTAAGATTTATTTTTTCTACGTCTTGTGATCTCATCTATGTGCGTGTCTTATGTGTTATTTCCAACATTTGGAATGTTGCCATGGTTCTTATTTGTCAATATGTTTGTTATTTCTCTATTCTCTACGTGCGCTGTCATAAATCTTAGCTGTGTGTGTTTTCTCTCTATATCAGCTACCTATGAGTCTCAACAAGTTTGATCTTCATCCATTCAAACTTGTTCTATTATCACTTCACAAGCAACCAACCTACTTTTGATGTATTTGCTTATTTGTGATTGACTCATAGGTAAGTCTTCTTATATGTTTTCTTTTCTCACTTTATTTCACTTTATATTGTTTTGGGTATATGTTTGTGATTTTATTGTGTTACTCGTCCATTCAAAACCTGTTCTATTATCATTTCACAAGCAACTAACTTACTTTTGATGTATTTGCTTATTTGTGATTGACTCATAGGTTATGAGCCTTTATCTCGAGTCAATCCGCGAATTTTTCATTTACGGCGTTTGAACTTTGTGTTGAATTTTCTACAAACACCACTTTAATTGTACTTCACCCATTATGTCTGATGAAGAGTCACCTTCCTCTCCTATTACTTTATCCAAATCCGCCGCTGTTTCGGAATCTTCTTTGACTTTGACTTCAAAACCTTTCAAAAGTCTCCAATCTACTGAAGCCATTATGTTTTCCCTTCCATTGTCCTTCATGTCCACCGCTTCATCTTCTGACAACCATTGTGGAGTTGTCAAGCTGCCTGAATTACCTACTAGCACCATGTCTGTTTTGAGGTAGCATGTCGACGTGCTCACACCAATCAATTTCCGTAGAGGTTGGATATAACCTACAAACAGGTCTGAGAGCTAAGCATACAATTGCCTTTGTCAAGAGGTTCAGACAGCAAGAGTGTTAAATGGGCTCCTTTGCTCATAGTTCCATTGACAAACAGTACATTTTTGATTGTCTATTATTATTAACAAAGGATATGCATTTTCTGAAAAGCGTCTAATAAGAAAAGAGATCACCACTCTAGAGGTGAGCTCCTACACCTCTTTCACACTACTACCTGATTATATTTCACCTGAATGCCCGTGACAATGTCCTAGAGGTGAGCTCCTACACCTCTTGTCACACTAACTACCTGATGACACTAACCTGTACAATCAGAACAAAAGCAAAACAATCATAGAAGAAGAAATGAGTTAGAAAAGAAAAGAAATAATAGAAAAGTTTTAATATTGATTCTGACCTATGAGGTTGAATCAGGTTAAGGATAAAAATAAGAAAAGAGATCAACACTTTGGTCTTTGATCTAAAGCTAGTGTTTCCAAAATTCAGATGAAATATAAATGAAGAGAATGAATAGCACCAATCAGTAACACATAAGTAAAGGTAATAGAAAAGATAGATAGTAGTAATTGAACTATGATAATAGAATGAAAAGAGGCGTGTGATAGTATAAAGGGATTGAACTTACTCTTTTCCTCCCGTAGAATAACGGATGAGGAAAAGAGTCAGTACGCGTCAAAGGATCAGCACTAGATAAGTTTGGGATAATTAGGGTTTGACCTTAACATTGAATATTAGAGTTAAAAGTTGATCTTAGTAAGCTTAAGTGTCTAACACATGTATGTTAACTCGTAGTACTTTAACACTCATCTGAAACACATAGCACGAGATACTATGGTGTATCTCAACACTCCCCCTGTTTCAGATGTCCATGTATAACATCTAGTCCAATTTGGTCTCGTAGTTGCTTGAATGGGCCCGGGTGTAGAGGTTTTGTCAACGTGTCTGCAAACATTGTTGTATTGCTAATATGCCGTAATTTGATGAGTTTCTTCTCAACTTGCTGACGAATCCAGTGATATTGGACTTCAATATGCTTAGTCCGTGCATGAAAGATAGATTTTTCAGTTAAAGCTACTGCTCCTGTACTATCACTACACAGTATTGTTGGTGATGCTTGACCTAGTGATATGTTGAACAATAATCCGCGTAACCATACAACTTCTTGCCCGGCTTCAGTAGTAGCCTTGTATTCAGCCTCCGTGGATGATAGTGATACAGTCGGTTGAAGTCGGCTCTTCCAGCTGATGGCAGCTCCATTTAATTTAAACACATAGCCAGTGGTTGAGCGACGAGTAGATGGATCTCCAGCCCAATCGGAGTCAGTGTGGCACTCTGGGTAGTACCAGCTCTGGTTTCCTTCTATTTCAGTGTCTTGACGGGAATAAATCAAGCCTAAAGATTGAGTTCCTTTTAAATACCTCAATACATGCATACCCATTTGCCATGCAGTCATGGACGGACGAGATAAGTGTTGAGACAGGGCGCCCACAGCATAAGCTATGTCTGGTCTGGTACCTTGAGCTATGTACATCAGACTACCCACAAGACTATTGTATGGTAATTTAGATTGTTTGAATTCTAAAGTGTCACTATCACTTGATCTCCTTATCTTCGCGCCACCTGGGAAAGGTGTTGAAGCAGGTTTACAGTTTTCGGAATTGAATCTTTCAAGTACCGTCTGAATGAATGATGGTTGGCTTAAAGAATAACCTCCATCTTCTGTTGAATGTATTTCAATTCCAACAACGCAGTGCGCAGGGCCTAAATCTTCCATCTTCCATTTTAATTTCAACAAGTTCTTTATTTCATCAATTTTATCACCTGTAATTGCCATATCATCAACATGTAGGTAAAGTAAGGTTTCTAAGCCATAATCATCTTTACCGTACCATAAGCAGGCATCGTGAGGGTTTGGTTTCAATCCAATACTGAGTAATTTCTCTTTTACTTCATCACTCCAACACCTAGCTGACTGCTTAAGGCCATACAGCGCTTTCTTCAGCCTTGCAACTTTTCCATTTGCTCTCTCTGTGTCATACCCCTCCGGTAATTCTAAATATATCTCCTCCTTAAGATCACTGTTGAGGAATGCGGCTATGGCGTCCATTTGTTCAATGGCCCAATCTTTTGCTGCAGCAATAGCTACTAGGATTCTAAACGACGCTAAGCGACCGGTAGGAGCAAAAGTGTCATTAAAGTCAACACCTTCTGTTTGGGTGTATCCCTTCGCTACATAACGGGCTTTATGTTTAGATATGCTACCATCAGGATGAACTTTATATTTAAAGTGCCATCGACCTCCAACTACAGGCACATTCTTTGGCCTATCGACTATTTCCCATACTCCCATATTCTTGATGTTTTCCATCTCTTTGTCGCAAGCAGCCTTCCATTTGTCGGCGTCTGGCATTTTCATAGCCATCTTGTAACTTTTAGGCTCAGCTCTAGGTTTCATAGCTTCTCTGCATTCATATAGCTGACTTAAGACATTACGACGAGCTACTTTGGGAACTATTGAGCGCATGGGATAAGCTTCGATGATGTTGGAATCACCCGGAACATAACGTTCTATAGGATGGCGCTCTCGAGTTGATCGCCTCGGTTCATTTGAAACTGTTGGTAATACCGGTTGAGTCTCAGGAGCATTTGGTTCACTCAGAACTTCTGGTTGATCTAATACAGGTTCTGAAGATTCATGAATAAGTGGAGTTTTAGGATGAATGATTTCTTGTATAATTTCATCATCATCATCACTCATACTATCTAATTTAGTATTAGGATCAATCGGTTCATCATTTGGGGAATCTTCTTCTCCAAAAGATTCCAATGGTAGGTCTTCGACGAATATCCAGTCAGGATTATTATCGGCATCCTTCATGAAGGGAAATACTAGCGGCTGGAAGGTTACATCATGGCTAATATGAATTTGATTGGTTTCTTGGTCTAAGATAACATAGTTGTGGTTATCTTCAGAGGCTCCAAGTAGGATACCGGGTCGAGACACAGCTTCGAACTTTCCGCCACGAATCTCCTTTCGAATATGTCGATAAGCTAAACAACCAAAAGGTTGGAATCGTTTTAAGCTTGATTCACGATTTTTCCAAAGCGAGTATGGAGTGGTTTTGAGATTGAGGGAGGTGGTTATGGTCCTGTTTTGTAACATAACTGCATATGAAACTGCATGGTACCAATACCTTATCGGTACACACGACTGTACTAGCATACATCTTGCTTTCGTATTGATGGTTCGGTTTGATCGCTCGGCAACACCATTTTCCTCGGGTGTGTGAGGTGAGGTTATGCGAGTGTTGATTCCAAGCTCCTCTAGAAAAGGTGTGAGGAGGCCATTGACAAATTCGCCTCCTCCATCAAAAGAAAACATTTTCAATGTTTCTCCGGTCTGTCTTTCGGCAAAGCTGATGTAGCGTTTGAAACATTCATGAACGGTTTCAGCGCTCTTGTCCGGTAGTCCGAACAATACACGATAGCTACTATAATCGTCAGTGAAGAGAATATAATATTCTTCTCGATTGACTGATGTAGTTCTAATGATTCCACTCAGATCGACATGGACATTTTCAAGAAATTTCTTAGCTCTCGGCCGGGTAGATGAGAAGGGGAGGCGATGGTTTTTGGCTAACGGACAGACAGGACACTTTGTTATAATTTCAAATTCTTTTACAGTGGTATTCTTATGAAGTACGTCATCTAACAACCCTAAACTCCACATTTTCTTTAAATACTTCTCGCTTGGGTGACCTAACGAGTAATGTAATTTCAGAATTGTGCGTTGTCTAGCATTTGAGATTGATGTTTGATGAGACGAGTGACTGACCGATGAACGTAATGCAACATACATCATGCTACCTTCCCCAACAAAACGCCCTATGAAAAGTTCTTTCTTTCCATGATCGATCCTGAAGTTAGGGTCTTCGAGTACAGTAGTGATAGCTCCAGCTCTAAGAAGTCTTCCTCCAGCTATTAAGTTTCGTGATAAATCAGGAACATATAGACAGTCCTTGAGCTTGACCGATTCGCCTTTAGTGTTCACCAAGTTGACATTACCAATTGAGTGAATGTCAAGAGTAGCACCTCCTCCAGCAAGATTTAATTTAGCACTGGGGTCATGATTCTCCATGAGAGTGGCAGATTCAAAGAGACTAGCATCATGGAACATATGATGGGATGCCCCAGTGTCTATCAAAGCTACTGAATCACATTGGTCTCCTGAACAAGCTACTTGAGGTTGAGCTGAACATGAGAAACTACCATCTACTTCAATTTGATAACTAACTTCGCGATCTTCTAGTCGGAGGTTGTTAAATACGGATTCAAGTTCTTCAGAATTTGGAAAGTTTTCACTTTCGGAATGGTGACTATGATTCATATGAGTTTGACTGTTGCCTTGACCACGGCCTCTTCCTCGTTGACTCCCTCGAAAACCTCCACGTCCGTTACCGCGTCCACCTCTAGGGTAATCGATCCATTCGCCAGCATCTCGTTTTGAGCGTTTCCAGCTTTCCATCTTAGCCGTGTTGTTAGGGTGATGAAAACAATCGGCCTGATCATGAGGTTTGGTAGGATGATCGCGGCCAATACACTTGTTCTTACTACAAGTCTTCCAGCGACCAATTCGATTTCCTTGGCTGGAATCCGAAGTTTCGGCAATCCGACTAGATTGTTGTCGACTCGAAGAAAACATCTTTCGGGTTTGGTATGTTTTCTTCAGCTCGGTTTCAAGATTCTTGAACTTCACATGGCCTGCATCTAATAAATCACATCCCTTTTCCGCCCAGTCTCGGTTGAGTGAGCGAACAAATTGACGGGCTTGTTCTTCTTCCGACATCTCACCGTTTGATCCTAGGTAAGCGTCTACTTTAGCTCTGAAGATGTCTATGTAATCGAGTAGATCCTTAGTAGTTCCTTGAGATAGGTCTGTGATCTCACTACGTAGCATAAGTTTTACAGATTCTGAATTACTAATGTGATAATCTCGGATTGTTTTCCAGAGTAAAGAAGGAGAGGGATCGGTTGTCTTGATTCCATTCTCGAATTTTGAAATCATTGAAATGAATCTTGTGGACTGAGTGAGATCTATGCTTGAGAGTAACCAGTAAAATATGGCTTTCTTAGTGGCTGAGTGGATGTCTGGATTGATACCCTGAGCACCGGCTTCTTCTGAATCAAGGTAATGATCGTATGAAGCCGCCATGAGACCAAACCGTATGCCATCGGACCAGGCTACATAGTTTGATGAGGATAACTTTGTACTGATCGCAATTTTATGAAGGATAGAAGTCATCTTGATGGACTGGCGCTGGGCCGGAGTATCGGTATCAATTAACTCATTAGACGCCATGACTAACGTCGAGTTGGAGGCGTTGGGTACCGTGGTATGATCTGAAGGTGCTGAGACTGATGAACCAGAGCTACCTGGTTGGTCTTCAGTTTCGAATTTGTCAAGGTCCTCTAGGGGTAATGGAGTAGATGCTGGCGTAGGCAATTGAGTGTCTTCAAGTGAGTTTTCTCTCTCGGACATGGATTTCTCGTTTCGAATGCTATAACTAAGAGCTGAACCAAGCTCTCGCTACCATGAAAAGCGACGAAACCCTGAATGCCCGTGACAATGTTCTAGAGGTGAGCTCCTACACCTCTTGTCACACTAACTACCTGATGACACTAACCTGAATGCCCGTGACAATGTTCTAGAGGTGAGCTCCTACACCTCTTGTCACACTAACTACCTGATGACACTAACCTATGAGGTTGAATCAGGTTAAGGATAAAAATAAGAAAAGAGATCAACACTTTGGTCTTTGATCTAAAGTCTTTTCCTCCCGTAGAATAACGGATTATATTTCACCTGAATGCCCGTGACAATGTTCTAGAGGTGAGCTCCTACACCTCTTGTCACACTAACTACCTGATGACACTAACCTGTACAATCAGAACAAAAGCAAAACAATCATAGAAGAAGAAATGAGTTAGAAAAGAAAAGAAATAATAGAAAAGTTTTAATATTGATTCTGACCTATAAGGTTGAATCAGGTTAAGGATAAAAATAAGAAAAGAGATCAACACTTTGGTCTTTGATCTAAAGCTAGTGTTTCCAAAATTCAGATGAAATATAAATGAAGAGAATGAATAGCACCAATCAGTAACACATAAGTAAAGGTAATAGAAAAGATAGATAGTAGTAATTGAACTATGATAATAGAATGAAAAGAGGCGTGTGATAGTATAAAGGGATTGAACTTACTCTTTTCCTCCCGTAGAATAAGGGTACTCAAAGCAAAGTATGTAGCGCTACATACTTTTCGCTACATACTTTTTTTGGCGGGGACAAAGAAAAAAAATATACTTTTGGCCTCGCCTTCCCCGCCAAAAAAAGTATATAGCAAAAAGTATGTGATTGAACTTACTCTTTTCCTCCCGTAGAATAACGGATGAGGAAAAGAGTCAGTACGCGTCAAAGGATCAGCACTAGATAAGTTTGGGATAATTAGGGTTTGACCTTAACATTGAATATTAGAGTTAAAAGTTGATCTTAGTAAGCTTAAGTGTCTAACACATGTATGTTAACTCGTAGTACTTTAACACTCATCTGAAACACATAGCACGAGATACTATGGTGTATCTCAACATTTTCTAGAGACAAATTGAATAAAGATCCGTTCAAATTTATTACACAACTCTCCATGTGAGCACATTGACGTGCTCATGGTGGACGGACATGGTGTAGCATGTTTTGAAACTGGAATAAGCCACTTTGTTTTGCCTTACAAACTCGTGGATTCATCAGTATTCTTACTTCCAATGATGCTCTGACTGATCCGACCGACTTGGCACGTTTCAAACGTCAACAAGGTATGAGATCTCACAACTTTCAAGCTGTTGAAACAATTGATTTCTCACTCGGAGCCAAGGGATCTCCCATCCTGTCAAAGGGTGTGAGGAAGTTCGGAGTCAAATGTGTATCCAGTTGATTCAACCAAAGGCTGACATACGATCACGGGGTGATGAGTTCCAGGAACTCATCTTTGGTGGGTGTTGGTATCTGATTCTTTGCAAGGATCTTCAAATTATTTTCACTGGCACCTGTACCAACAGCTACAAAGTTGGTATGATTTGTTGGAAATCGGGTGACTTCACTAACAAAAGAGAAACATGGTCTTGATTTGGTGAACATTGAGATAATTTACTCCAGAGGAGTGAAAAACCTTACCCCCCATAACATTGGCACAACAGTTGTGCCTTGTCAACACTAAGTGATTCCAACTTGCCAGTGAACACAAAGGAGAGGCCATCAAGACAATTTAACCTCCCTTCAGGGATTTCCTTTGAGCCTGTGGACATCAAGGAGTTGGATGATGTCAAAACTCTCACAGCCTCAAGCCGATGAAACATTCAATTCCTCACCTGGGACAACGCTGGCTCAGTTGCGCTGTTTCTGCGGTCAGCGCTGCGGCAGCGCAACTGAGCTGTGGTATGAAATTAATAGACGCGGATATGAATCTACGCGCAAACCTGGACAGACAGGTGTTAGTTGAGTTTAAGATGACTCAAAGAAGTTAAGATAGACGGGCGGAGGATTCAACGCCTTACCTGCAAATGAGCAGGACAAAAATAATGTGGTAGAGAAGTTCTAAGCTTCCAAGTTCCACTCGATTATATTCCAAACCAAAGCAAAAAGAAAAATAGAAAGAGACTAAAGTAGATAAGAGGATAAGTAATTTACCTGGACAGACAGATGTTAGTTGAGTTTAAGATGACTCAAAGAAGTTAAGAAAGACAGGCAGAGGATTCGATGCCTTACCTGCAAATGACCAGGACAAAAATAACGTGGTAGAGAAGTCTATTGTAACATATGAGTACTTGTCCAGATTTGAAAAGAATTACACATAGAGAAAAAGAAAGAGTGAAAATTTGCTTACTCTAAGCTTCCAAGTTCCACTCGATGAGGAGGGAACAAGGAGCTCGAGAGAGGCAGAGCATAAGAGTCAAAATTAACGCATACCCAAACATGTGCTAATCCAGAACAGGAAGTAATGAGTTGAGTCAGTTCTAAATTAAGCGAAACCATTCCTTCTTCTCTTGATCTTTGCCAACACTTCAGTTTCCTAATTGGGATGGACTTGACACGTCGTTCACCATTATCATAACATGGTACCAGTATGTGGTATTCTACAGAAGCGGGTCTCGCGGAGCGCTGTCACTGACAGCCTTGCCTGGTAACGGGGCTCATGTACCGCTTTCTGGGGCCTGGGTTCCTAGAAGCGGGACCTGAGCTTTGCTTCAGGTCCCAGCCTGGTTGACGATCATTATCAACCCTCAGCCAAGATCTTTCAGATGTTGGTGCTCACCTCACCTGTTTTCCATGGCAAGGAAGGAATGTCCATCCACCAACTCTACCCATTTTCACTTGTCACCATCAGATGTCAGCAAGATTCAGCAAACCACCTGTTGGACACAGGATGGTCCATTGAAGACCTCCAAAAATCGGATCCGGAGTTTGTCCAGATCACTTTTCTCTATTGATATCTAATTAATAGTTTCCTCTTACTAATCTTTGGTATTATTGGTCTTGATTTCATCATCGAATCCATAAAATTTTCAAAAAACCTCCCTCAATCCATTCAAATCATTAATCAACTCCACTTAATCATCTCTTTTTGTGTCTTTGAATTCAATTACCTTCCAATCTTCTCGATTATCCTTCTCAAACAAAATAATAATATAATTTAAAACTCAATTCATATCTTATTTAATTTTTTCATCTCATCGTTAACAACAATAACCAAATTGCCTTATCATCTTAATCAATAACAACATGCCTGTTCAAAGTACTTTACAATCAAACTCAGGATACAAGACTGATGAAAGTGCTCCATGAAGTTCTGGCCATGTCACTACACCTGCCAAACAAGCTCCGGGGATGATCTGTCCCCCGTCTGACAGTTGGCAATCTTTACCAAGCTCATCATTTACGTTTTCTATCAGATCTTGTGACTCTATGGCCAACAAAGAAGTCAGTAAGGGAAAACACAGGTATGACTGATCCCCATCAAATTCTGGAACCATGATCGATTCAGACCATGCTTCAGACTTGCCTGTGGTCATCAGTGCCAACATTCAAAAGGTTGCTTCCGGGCGTGGACAAAAATCTGTTACAGCTTTGAGTCAAGGCAAGTCCAAGACTCAGACCTCAACATCAAAATCCACTGCTCAAATTGCTCGACACAAGGAATCTCAGGCCGAGTTGGTAAGTAATATCTGGTTTTCTCAAGTTGAAATAGTTTATTTTCATATAACTAATTTCTTTCATTATTATCTCATCTATGTAGGCTTTGGCGGCTGCTGCTGGTGCAAATACAGATCTCGATCAAGACTCTGATGAAGAAAACAACCGTGTACGCAAGCGATCCTGTGGTTCAAAGACCAAATTGAATATGATCCACCTGTCCTTGTCTTTGATACTCCCTTCCCTCGTCCACAAGATGTAAGTGATTTTTATCGTATTACTTTGAAAATAAGGTAACATCTTATTGTTTCAGGATCTGAATGGCCCTCCTTTGACCCTTAAGTGCAAGTGGTGTCAAAAGGAGGTCCATATCAGCGGAACTTTGAAGTCAAACCTACGTGTCCATCGTGATGGATCCAGCCAGGCCGGTAAAAACAAATCAGGATGCCCTTGTCAAAGACAAGCAATCAATGCTGGTGCCAACCTGCCTCCAACTCAAGCCAATCAACACGCCAGCCAGATCCGCAATGCCCATGCCAACTTGCTCAAGAATTTCCTCCTACCAGTTCCTGAATTCGACAACCTGGTTGTCAACCAGATGATAGCTCTATGGCAAGTCAATCACAGTCTGCCATGGACTATCATCAAGCATCCCATGCTATGAGCAGTTCTTACCTACCTTCAACCTGGAATTAAACTTTACAAGAGGAAATGGTTGGCTGAGGAAGCCAAGCGTCTCTATGTTGGCCTTTGTGAAAATTTAGTCACAGAACTTAAGGTAAGATCATGCCACCATCAACCTCTTATTCCCTATCAACTCTGGTTGATTTACTTGTTATATTATCCATTTATTCATTTTCTATTACCAACATTCCTAATTTTCTAGTCGCTCACGGGTATGTTCACATTAATACAAGATGTGTGGACTGTCTCTCGCAACCTACACGCATTCATTGGAGCATTAGTGGCCTTTGTGGACAAGGACTGGAAATTTGTTATACACCACATTTGTTTGAAACTCATCACATGGCACCATTGAGGTCAATGGCTCGCTGCACCTCTAGCCCAAGTGCTAAAGAAGCACAACCTTTGTAAAAAGATAAGTTATAATTTTCTTGCTGTTACGTTTTAATTTCTTTTATGTTTTGAGGTTGTATCCTGACTATCAAATCTAAAATAATACATGATAGCAATGACATCTGATTCAGGATCTAACAACCTCACATTTGCGACCGAGCTTCAAAATCAATTCCTCAAACACGATCCCAGCTCCCACTGGAACCCCACAACTATGCACA